AATTTTTTTTTTAAAAAGAAGTGTATATCATTTTCCATCTAGGGCAAAACCTTGCTTTCTCCTAAAAAATAATGTTTATCCGCACACAAATCCTTAATCAAATCAAGTCTCTAATCAGGAAATAAAGGGCATCTATGAGCCCATTAACACTACCAAGAAATGAAACCAGAAGAACTAGATGGTGCCCAGTCACCATCACCAACCATTCTAAAAGGAATTAGGTTAGAAGATCTATAATAGAGTGAGAGAAAAAAAACAGAAGTAAAACTCAAAATTACTTTAACAAAATATCAAATTTATTGGTCAGAGAGAAGTTGATCAAACTCTGGAGGTTATGACTTATAGTTACTCTTGAGGCTTGGTAACCAGGGTCCATAGCATACTACTTTCAGTCAAATAATAGAAACAGTCGGTCTATACCATGAACAACATTACTAGGGAGTTCTACACTCTTCAGAACAATCAATCCTTGTTGCTTGTCGTTAAGTGTCATAGAGTTGAGCACTACTCATAGCAACTTTATGAAAAAAAAAGACTTGAACCCTGAACTATAACTATCGTCATCTCTCTAAATTCATAGAGTTTCCAGAGGTGGTTTAGGAAGTGGATGCCACTCCTACTTCCAAGCTTGTCTTAATATGGGAGCTCCACCAAACACTGTACACCATGTGTAACTTTTATGGCATTTGACACATCAGTGCACAGCATTCAGTATCACAGCAACCCCAAGTTACTTTAGCACAGCAAATTGACAGACCAGTGCTGTACTACTTAGAAGAATATTCCTCACAAACACAATTAACACAACTCCAGACCCAATGGCCCAACATCAACTTTTTAAATACAAAGGCCTGCCTACTCAACCCCGATTGATTATAAACAAGAGGCTGCCAGCTCACAGCTCATTGTTAGCTAAATCCAGAAATCCAAACAGCTCACATACTATTATGAACGAAATAAAAAACAACCAGTCCACACCCAACCCTCAACCATTAGGGACCAAAAAATTTGTTCACTCTCGTGACAGTCCATAGTATTTTGGGACAGCACCAGAATGCAAATCTATCAATTCTACTGTTCTCCTTTTAAAATTTTCACATGTACATGGAGTCATGGAAAATATTCCTGAAAATCCAAGGACAGCAAGTAGTTTGTTGTTGTGTTTTTTGTTGTTGGTTTGTTTGTTTTTTCCATGTGTTTTTGGACATGACTAGGTAGAGAAGAGGTGCAACAGAAAAGAAGGAGGTCTTCAAGGAAGTTAACTGAAACAACAGCTATAATCATAGGTTCAAACATACCTATTAATAGAAGAACAAGTTCTGGTTGCACAGTCCATTGGGAGTTGCACTGCTAACCCAAAGGTCATGCCTCTCTATCAGTTTTAATCCACCAGCTGCTCTTTGGGAGAAAGATGGGAAATTTCCTCCAATGTCATTTATAGATTTGAAAAGGTGCTGGAGAGTTAGCTGTGAGTTGATTCCCACTTGGTGGCAATGAGTTTTAGTTGAGTGTGAGGATGCGATAGATTTGAGTAGTGTCATTCCCATACACAGGTTCACTAGAAGCTGTAGTCAATTCATTGGCACCTTTGGAACTATGAGAGTCAATTTCTACTCTTTTAAGCAGCAACAACAATAAGCCACCACTCAGTTTGTGGTAATTTCTTAGAGTAGCCATAGAACTAGTATACTGAGGTTGAAAACCACAAGAGTGTTTACTTGGACAGCATATGTACTAAAATTGGAATAATGTAGACAATAATAGTGCGGACCCTGCACAAGGATGACATGCAAAGTAATGAAGCATTCTCTATTTTTGCTTATGCTTCTGGTGTAATGGGAATGTAAGGGAAACCATGGAGAAGAAAAGGCTTGCCATAATCAACACCGAACGCAAACCCACAGGGCACAGGATAAACCTCCTGTTTGAGAGAAGGGTAAGGGATCTGTCTAGACCCTGAGGGAGACAGATCCTTAGGCAAAAGAAAATGCATTCTCTCTCCCTAGAGTTGGAGTTGTCTCCACATCAGGGTATTGCCAAATGCCTCTACAGAGTCCTGAAGATGATCATGGAAATCCCCTTTGAGCTTAATCACAAGGACTCTGGAGAAGCAACAGGAGCACCCCAAAACAATCTCCTCTTGGGGACCATCTCTTATTTTCATTCCTTGCACAATCAATTTCTCATCAGTAACACACCATGTTTCTGCCCTTTTCCTTGCCACATTCTGTGTCCACGACCCTCCAAAGTCTCTGTGAAAAAGCTTTGAAACCCAATTGTTTCTGCATGTGCTCCCACTTGAGCGTACTCTTTGTTCTACTCCACGTCAAAGCAGCCCAACTATCACTGTCATTCTAAGGCAGCCCTGGGGCCAGTAATCTTTCAACTCTTTGTGAGTGGGGCAAACCATTAACAAATGATTGGAGGTTCAAGTCCAACCTGAGGCACCTCAGAAGTAAGACCCTATGGACACACAGAGGTTGTCAAGAGTCAAGACTGACTCTGGGGCAAATGATTTCATGCATATAAGAGGTAAACTGTTTTCATCTTCCTGCTTGCCCTAAGCTACCCTTCAACCCTTCCCAGACCTGCACTATTCCCCACAGTGAGGCACTTTTCACCACTTCTCCCGCCATCTGCAAACTCTCTGAGATATTCTCTAGGACCAGAGTATTTCTGGAGTTTTCCTCTCTGCTTAGTATCAAGTAAGATCATGTATAATGGCATCAATCTACATGCATAGGCACTTTGACCGTAGGGATCAATTGTTTGCCAGGTGCCACCTCCATCAATTGTTTCTTCTCCCATAGTTCCCAGCTTACCCGTCCTCTGGTCCTGTTCTTCCGCTTGGGGATATCCTCTTCTAAATCCTCTTCTTCATTCCCTTCTTCTACATTTTCATCATTTTCCAAGACTCTCTGAAATGACCAGAAAATACATAGAAGAATTGAGAAATCATGGGTTACACCTCAACATCAAGAAAACAAAATTGAAGTTGTCAACAATTTCATTTTACTTGGATCCACAATCAATGCTCATGGTAGCAGTAGTTCCATTGGGGAAATCTGCTGTCAAAGACATCTCCAAAGTTCTAAAGAGCTAGGATGCCAGTTTAAACACTAAAGTGCTCCTAAAGCCATGATAATTTCAATTGCTTCTTAAACCTCTGAAAGTTGGCCAATGAATAAGGATGAGAGAAGAATCATCAATGCCTTTGGACTGTGGTATGGGAGAAAAGTATCAAATATGCTATGGACTGCCAAAAGAACAAACAAATTTGTTTTGAAGGAAACACAACCAAAGTGCTCCTTAGAGGCAAGAATTGTTATTGTGTGCGGAAGAATTGGAACAGATTTATAGCTGACCCTCCAGCAGGTTTTCAGAGGCAGTTAATCGCATGGAAGGAGACTGCCCATTCTTTTCCCCTGGAACAGTTGGTAGATTCAAACCATGTGCCTTTGGGATTGCAGAGAAGCTTCTGACCACTAGGCAACCAGAGCACCATTAGATGCAAGAAGAGTCAAAGTTTATGTCACTTAATGTGAGCATATTTTCAGGAGGAAGCAGTCCTTAGAGAGAAGGTGGAGGGTCAGTGAGAAAGAAGAGGACACTCAATTAAACGGACCAACACAGTGTCTGACACAATGAGCTGGAGCATGACAAAGATTGTGTAGGACAGAGCAAGGTTCAGATCTATTATTCATGGAGTCGCTATGAGTGAGTCAATCAAATTAAACTGCTACCATGACTCGAAAGCTGAGTCTCTGAAATGCCGCCTGGCGGTTTGATCTCTTGGTAATACTAAACCTCTCCCAAACCCTAGGACCCATTCCAACCAAATGCCACCTGAACTTTTTTAATTCTTTGTGCCCAAGAAAACAGATTCAAACAATATATATATATCCAAAAAATGCAGCTCAAAGTCATGAACCTACCCACAGCTGATTGTCCATTGGATTTTTGAGACATGCAGGAGAGCCACTATTGGATTTGAACCTCCAGAGAGGCACTGCCCTCGAATTAGCAGCAAAATACCCTATAGAATATGACATCAGGGCTCCCAAACAATACATATAGCTAAATAATTATGAAAATACTTTTCTTTAA